GTACATTTTATTAAAAATTAGCAAAAGTGGTTCCGGAATGTAACTATTTGGCAACACACTTAAAAACCGTTACCACCATGAGATTTTACATACTTTTTTACATAATTGTTGCATATCAAAGCTTGGTAAATACCTTCGAATTCTTAATAATTTTACGAGCGCGTTTTCATGTTTCAATTGTTTTATATATTTTAGCTAAAATAATTCCGGAGAGTACTTAGTTAACACCGCACTTGGAAATCGTGGGCACCGTGAGATTCTACGTACATTTTTACATATAATTATCACTTCTAAAATGTTAGTAAATACCTTCCATCTTACACTGATTTTATGAACGCTTTATTATGTTTAGATTATTGTATATATTTTAGCAGAAATAAAAAATTAAATATTAGTATCAGTTATTACATTTCTTATTATGCTGATCTTGAATCAGATTGAAGCAGATGATCCAAGGCTTTTAAAATGTTCTTCGTCCATATATTTTTACGTCATAATTCAAACCCATGAATGGGCCACAGGTTATTTTTACTGTTACAAAATTATGTCCTACTCCTCCATTTAACACTTGACAATCACTCTCAATGGCATGAGTAACATTAAAGTCGGTACAGATAATGCAACCTATGCTGATCGGTTCTTTACTCTTTGATGATGTTTCGGGAAATCGAATATTTTCAGTGATTTGCCGTTTAGTTGGCCATTGACGAATTCGTCGTTGGTATAGCAAAACGTCTGTAAAAAGCAGAGAACTTTTTAGTAAATACAATGTTTTCCACTAATACGAATTAATATTGAAGCACCATGAAATATCTACCACTCTCCCTATAGTTCAGACTTTACTCCGTGTAACATTTCATTATTGCCATTAACAGAATATTGCACTAAAACGGAGCTACCTTAAAAACGTTAACTGTTTTGGTTTTATGAAAAAGAAAAACCAAGAAAATTTTCGTAAATTGAAAAATTACACCTACACACGTAGTATGCAAGTATGTAAAAAGAAAATGAAATAAGTAGGTACTGTTTTACCTTTCGGGTCATTTCTACAGTTTTTGTACGACGATGAACCAATAAATTCAAAGAACAAAACAGAAGCAAGAAGTAGTTGAATTGTTACGTTGGACATCTCAAAGAAAACTGGTGGTTAGAATCAACAAAGTAAGATTACTTAAACGAATTTAGTGACGAAATAGGGCACGAATATGATTTTCATTGTTTTCATCGCGTATAGCTAACAATCCAAACAAGTATTTCAAGAGGAAAGGAAAAGAAAAACGAAATTATGCCTAAACGAGAACGTTATTCCTTGTTACGCATTAACAATACGCCATTCTCTTCGATGAAACGTAAAAATATTTTTTAAACTATCATTTTTAGATCATCAATTATTGTGTCACATATACAATAGCAACAAATTGCTATCGCTTGTTATTCAGAACAATTGAAAGACAAAAATCTGTACACAATTAACAAATATTAATCTTTATAACAAAAATTTACGAAGAAACTTACGAAAATTGTCATCTAGTCATTAGTTTCACAGAATTAATTACACATGCTTATTATTAGCATTATAAAACTTTCAACTTAAATTCTGATCTTACCATGAGGAAATCAAAATAAAGGGAAGAAATGGAAATTGAATAATCAAGAATTCGTTTTTGTGTTTGGATAACTGCAGTTGTCGAAAATCACTTGATGTGAGGTCAGGACTATACGGTGGATGATCAAAAACATCCCAGTTGAGTTGTTTGAAAAGTGATTTTCATCAGTTTCGGCAACTGAAGAGATTGCTTGCCTTTTAGTAATAAATTACGCAAAATATTATCGGCGGTTGAAAAAAATTGCCCTTGTACACTCGCAATGCTATTGAAAAGAATTTCCACTGCATTAACAGCGCAATAAACAAAAAGTATTCTAGACGGATTTTGTTACTTTTATGTTTGGTTTTCCTGGACTCGCTGCAGGAGTGAATGGTTCGCTTCCTTTTTCCGAGAGCGTGTTTCCCATGAAGCATTGCCATGCGCGATTTTCACTCTGCTGCATTAAATCGACCGACGCAGCTCGGAAAGCGGCCGAGGTAACTTGGTCATCAGAATTATTTTTGTGATGCCACGACATTCCGTAAAACTCCACCGGTGATTTCCGTTACAATTTTTTATTATTTATTTATAATAAAACGGTAAGTACCTGTAGTAGCAATTTATCGTTTTTATTTTAATTAAACTTACCGACATTTGAATTCTTGAGTTATGTCACGTAGCAACAAATGTTCCAAATTAATAATACATAATTAATGACGAAACAGCAGGGACCTATTTAGAGTCAAATTAAATTAATTACGGTAAATGAGGCCAAATTAATTTGAATATGTATGTGTGAATAATACACAGTAGGAAGATACTAAATGTAGCATAAAATATATTTCGTTTTCGTCTACTCCAAGAGTCTTTCTGGATATAAAGGAGCAAACAATATTTTAGAAACTTGTGTTACGAAAACTTTTTTAAACTTCGGGAATACGTCAGGTCAATTAGTTACTACTCAAAGTTCAGGTAGGTAAAACACAGTAAGTGCCTACACGGAGAAAATGAAAAAGGAAAATTTACCTAAATATGAAAGCGATTTTTACAATTTATCCCACTATCCCGTTGCTTCGTAAGCGGAAATAATAAAAATTACAATTTGGACCCGAATTTGTAAAAATAAAATCCCAGCAAAAATAAATTTTGCTAGGTATTTTAGTTGATATTACAAATTTAATTGTAATAATTAAGAAACTTGAAATAATTGTTTAAAAAACATGTCAAAATTGAGATTATTACAAGTTGCCTAATAAATTCTACTATGTCTACGGTAAATTCAGTCATTGACAATCGAGAATTGTTATAAAAATTTAGTTTTCTCCGTGCATATATTAAAATCAAAACTTTTTTTATTCTAATACTAAACAGTTTTCTATGAAATATCTAAATTAACTTTAACAAATCACTTAAGATCAAATTTTTGTAAGTGGCATTTAATTTTTTATTTTTACCCTGTAAATGTACTTTACTATCTTGTAACTTCGTCACATAAGTTCAATGTATTTTTCAAATCAATTGTAATTGTCTTATTTATTTAACGGAACAGACTATGGCACCGTTCTCGAAGAAATGTTAACACAAAATATTAGTACAATTTTGTCAATGCATACAGGGTGTTTTTATAAGAAGTGCGTACGAAATTAGAACTATACAAAAAACTTTTTTGTTTATCCTTATTTATTTACAATTTGTAAATATAGAAACAGTATATTCGCCAAAAAAGCCTTCGAACTGTATGTAATATTGAGGAAAACTAACATGTATTTTATAGCTACGTCAATTTATATTTCTAAATCTAAAATTGAAATTTTTCCATAACAATGACCCTTATTACACAAATATGTCGTTTTATATTTCTATTATTTACTGAGATAACTCACATTGTTTGGCCTAACAATGCAACATATCATAAGTGCTACTTTAGAACTGCAGGACAATGTCCATTAAAACTACAAAATGCTCCACTACGTAGTTGATTGATAAATTAAATTCCCATTCATTTTGTTGTATTTTTTTGCGTCAAATCGGTTTTTATTTCAAGAAAAATTAATATGAAAACTTCTCAACAAGCAAACATTTTTTTAATAAGATAAAATAAGAATAAAAATTACAATTTACTTATTAACTTGTATTATTGATACGACTGATCCGGCGATATTCACTAACTTAGGCTTTCAACTTGTAATTATTCATACTTTAGGAATCATTGTAGATTAAGTAAAAGCTCACTTAATTTTGTAGGATTACAGTGGGCGATTTCGTTATAACCAATACATAATTAAGGATTATAATCCGATAATCCTTGAAATGATTTTGTGATAAAATTGTCAAATTATTGAATCATTAAGTAAATATTATTGTATCCTAATGATTATTATTTTCTAGACCATGAGTCACAGATAAAGGATTCAAACTATCGGAAAATAGGGAAGAATGCCAAAATCAACCAATATTTCTATCAGTACTACAAAACCGCGACCTTTCAATGGATAATGGTACCGAAAAAATGCAAAAGAACCGCGATAGCTCAGTGGAAATTTGCTCGAAGATGCATATTCTTTACAACAACCGTTTGCATTATTCCAATAATTCTCGTTTTTATGGTTACCACAGATCAATACGTTCGTGCTGTACGCGCAAGAAAATCGTACGGGAAATTGCAGGCAAGTATCCTAAACGTTACTATCGAGGCATAATACCCATTTAATTGCATCTACTCCTAAATCTCGACAGTAAAACCGTTGTAACATTATTGAGAGCTTAATGAACCAATTATCCAACAATAAACGACGGCTTTCGTACTGGCGCGAATTATAATAATATTGGAACGTATGTTATGAGGCAAACAAAGTTGGTTAAGACTTACGTTTACTCTTCTTATGAATGAACAGTCACAAAAGTGACCACTCTCCAGTGGGGGAAAGAGAGGGGGGGAGATATAAAAGAGAGAGAGGGAGAGTATTTACTTTACAACTTTACTTGTTGAATGATCAGCTCTATATCTAAACTTAACTAACAACTTATGTTGCATTTTCTTATTACAAGTGAGTTCTATAGGCTGTACCGGTACTTACTTTTTAGATTGATGCGTACAGACTATGTTGATGACGTAACAGCAGTCTCTCAATAATTTTACAGTAGTTAAGTGTACTTTCTTTTTAGAGTTCGGTAACCAACCAAGAACACTATCATCATCATTTATATATCTTTGTAGGTACTTGATGAAATTATAAGTTTTTTGAAAAGATTATTTATGGAAGTTGTCTAACTGTAAAAACAAAAATGGTTAAGGGCCTTTTGATTTTAATCGATTGGTCGCGAAATATTGACTATCAAAACCATTATCAAAAGGTTCCCGCTCCAATTTGTAAACTGTTGGAGGCATTTATTGATTAAAGTAATTTACTTATATGCAGTTGATTTCTACATAATTGCAGCTGACATTGTGTTAACTATTATTAATTTCCAATAAGAAAGTGACTAAAGAGCCAGATCAGCACAAGCGTGTAAAAATACATGTTCAAAAATAAATAATGTATTGCTGTATTATTTCAGTTTATTGCGTCAACAGACAACTGCTTGAATAATTTTATTTCAAAAATGACAATTACAATTGCAAAACATTCGTTTCGCAAACCAAATCAATTTAACAGCTCCTTTTTTAAATTTTTATCGCTTCTAATACCTTAGAAAGGTTTTTCAAATTGAAATGCACAAACAATAACAGTGATAAATGAATTAAAATTAGCTTTAATTGCAATTAGGCCGTTTTAGATTAGAATAAAAGAATGTTAATTAACTCAACTAAAACAATAGCTAACTGTAAAATTAGACGAAAAACAAGGTTGTATCAAAAAATCACAAAATAGAAAAAAATTCAATTTCTGCTGACAAGTATTCGATTCCATTTTATTCCGAAAAGTATGTACTTTTTATCTATTAATCTGGAGAAATGTTTATTTCACTTTGATAAAATTATAGATCATGTGCTTCAATTTCTATTTTGTATCAAGTACATTTGTAACACTTGGGTTGACGTTACTTTAGAACTTTTTAGAAGTGTATCAATGAAACTTAATGAGGCTTTTAGCCAATTTAAATTCTAACTGCATCTTCCGCAGTCAGTCTACTGATAACAATTTATTTGCAATGCATTCTTCTGTAAAACATTTTTTTTTCGCTTTATCTATATACAAGTTTCTGCTGATTACAGATGCGCCTGCGGGTTCCGTAAAACGATTTTGGTTCCGTCTTACCAATTTCGACAGTACAGACAGACAAACAGACATACCAAAAGATTGATTCCGAATTGACTCTAACTTTTATTGTAGCTTCTAATAAAGCTCTGGAGGCTGTACCTCCTGTACTGGAGGAGGAATATTTGGTGTTTACAGAATTTTCAGAAAATATAATATTTACACAAATATATTTTCAAAAGTTTTATCGACTCCTGATTTCCGCAAGAAAATGTCCATCATAAGGCTTCGGTTGCAACATGCTAGTTTTTCTTAAATTTCAAACATTTGCTTCAATCCTCGTAGGCTACATTCCTTGTTCTGAAACTAGTCACACTATTTGTAAAGTAGCCTACGAAATTATATTATTCTTCATCTTACTACTGCAAGATTATCAAAAATTTACGTGCACGTCATCGACATAGTCTGTACGAACCAATCCAAACGTAATACTAACGAAACATCCATCAACTTCCTTGTAATGTAAGTAGAAAATATGATGTAAGAGGGTCGAATGTAAGTCGTAACTAACCTTGTATACTGTAAAACAGGGGTTCTAGCTTATTTCTCGTTGAAATCTAAGGCAGAAAGAAAGCCAGACGTACAGTATGTCTTTGAATAATTAATCGTCACACATTCTCTTCATAATATGACTATAGACGAAACATTCGCAACAAAATGTTTGTAGCAATATGATCTTCCTTTAGACTGAACAAACTGATTATTATACCGAAGTTAAAACATGGGACGATGTGGAAAAACGCAACGAAAGGCGAAGGAATCATCTAAGAAAGACGTGCAAATTATTGGGTTTAAACAAGGTGGGAAACGATTCTCTCCATAAACCGAACCCATGGGAATTTTTAATTAATAAAAAGTACCAACTTGTCTGGTGCAATGTATTTAAAGCTGCCTCGACATCCTGGATGTACAACTTTAATATTTTGGCGGGGTACGTCAACTCAAATATCAGTTCCTATTTATTTTTTACTTTTAACTAGATGCATAAAGACAAAATTTTCCTATCAAGTTCAGAAAGGAAATTTCTGCTGACCGTAGTTTCATTTTTGACCTCCTTGTTTCTGCCAAATTTCACATGTTTCTGTAAAAAAACTGTTGTAACAGACAAACAAACACACTCTAAAAATCTTTTTTTTTAAATTCTAATTCTGAAGAAAAAAATAAAAATCATGAAAACTTCCAATTCGTATCGGATATTGCAATTACGTAGCTATTTCGTAGGTAAAATCATTGTTGCGTGATACCTATTTATTAAAAACATATTACGGACAATATAACCATGTGCCGAGCCCAATGTTTCTGTTTTCAGCAAGACAATTAAAACGATGACATAATATGAACAAAGAGTAAACTGGTTGACAATGTAATCCCAACAGTTCCAGGAAGTTACCTAAATATACCTACCTTCATCATATATGACACTTAAAAATAGATAACAGTCACAATGTTGCTCTAAACCGTTCGTTGTAATTATACGAACTCAGAAAAATTGCGTATTTTTGAAAACTAGAAATCACAAACATAGCAAAATTTTAATAAAACAATTGTAATATTACTCCGATGTTTTCCAGTACATATGCTTACTTTTTTTAACTTACGTTGCTACTTAAATTTTGAGAAAAATAATAATGAAATTAATTCTACGAATGTCTCACTATTATTCATTAAATGACGATTAAAAAACTCTAGGTTAAAATTAACGATTGCTAAGGACTTTCTATCTGAATCTGTTGAGCAGAAAAAGCCTAGGATTCTTCTTAACCAACTCAACCTACTAATTAAATCGGACAGATTATTATGATGCAATGTACGTAGGACAAAGTGCTCAAACCCAGAAAGTATGAATCAAAGAACATCAGTATGCTTTCGATTATTCTGCAGATAGTTGCAAATAGTTCGGTTTTAACCAATTTTTGGACAGAGAAATTGCTCAATTTTTGCAATTTGTAACATAAAAACGAAAATATAACTTCTTAGAAAACCAAGAGCAACTGAATTCTGTGAAACTTACAAATTTAGTAGTTACTCTTACGAAAATATCGGTACCTACAAGTAGATACTCTGTAGAAAGATCAGTCAGATCCAAACTTCAAAACACCTGTTGTCAAATGTAAATTTAATTTTAAATAAATTGTTTTGAATCTGGCTTATTGTTAGTATTTTATTTCACAATTAAACATCAATATTATATATTATACAGGTACAATCAAAAAATTTTGGATGACGTCAAACAAGTTCCCTTGTCGCTAGCCAGGAAACGCTACCCTCGACCAAGTGCTAAAGAACTGGAAGAGGCTATAAAAAACTCGTTATCATTTATTATAGTGAGACACCCGTTAGAAAGGCTGCTTTCAGCTTATAGGGACAAGATTCAGCACAGCATGCCTCGAACCTATCATCAAAAATTAGGTTTTCAAATTGTTGCACGCTACCGTAGTAAAGCTGATAAGGTAAGATAACAAAAGTAGTTGCATAAGTGCCTGTATAGAAGCTCAAGAAAAAAGGCGTTAAATTCATCTTAAATATAAACAATAGCAAATACAAGTAACAAAATATAAAACAATTTTTCGACCACTTACTTTTTAATAAAGAGTGAATAAGTAACACATTAATGGCTAACTTAATCAAATTTTAATTTTTCATAGTTTTCCGTTACAGGCACCTCGTCATTACCGAGAGTTTTCACCGTAATAGGCAGTTGTTTATTACAGAAAAGTTTAGCTTCAATTGTTTTTCTCTCTTATTGCAGACAAAGCTTCGTAAACAGCGGTGGCCTTCGTTTTCGGAATTTGTAAGGTACCTCTTAGATACAGTTAAAAATAAAGAACCCTTTGACATGCATTGGGCTCCAATAACACAGTTTTGCACCCCGTGTATGTTTAATTTTAAGTTCATAGCTCACACAGAAACACTTGAGGTAAGTTAGTTAATTATTTAAATAAATACAAATTCGATCACAGACGTAATACTTTAATCTATTGTAATATGAGGGATTTTTTAAAACAAAAACAGAAAAAAATTGCCTAAAACATAGTATGTGGTCCAAACATTAAAACATTACTTGTGAAATGCAAATACATATAGGACATGTGAGTCATTTTATATATGAGTATAAGGTAGGAAATAAGAAATATAAAAGGAAAGGATACAGAAAAACAAATCGACGAGGGGACATGGAATAGACACTATTTTCAGACAAATATACTGAGGGGCTAAGCCGCACTAAGCTTTTGCGGTGATTAAAAAATAAATTATGTTTATAAATAGTTTTGTAAATGGGGGAGGGGGCTATTTTGTAAATCCGATCCTGTGGAGAAAGGGACAACATACTAATTTTTTATTTAAATAATGTTCGGACGTTTACTTCAATCCTCAGAAGTCATTCATTGTAGTGAAATTATCCACAATACGTAATTGTAAACTACCCCAAATACTATATTTAATATATTTTTTTCATCTTACTACCGTAAAACTATCAAAAAATTTGCGTTTACGTCATCGAAAAAGTCTGTACGAACCAATCCAAACGTAATGGTAGCAAAACATTCAACTCGCTTGTAATATAAGTAGAAAATATGATGTAAGGGGGTGGTATGTAAGNTTGTATGGTACCTCTTAGATACAGTTAAAAATAAAGAACCCTTTGACATGCATTGGGCTCCAATAACACAGTTTTGCACCCCGTGTATGTTTAATTTTAAGTTCATAGCTCACACAGAAACACTTGAGGTAAGTTAATTCATCATTTAAATAAATAAAAAATTTGTTTGTAATATAATATATGTGGTCCTTTTAATGAAATTTCTTATGAATATTGTAAATAACTACATTATGGAGCGACTTTGTTTAGTTTTTCAGTTTAAAATTTAATTGTCAAATGTAAATACATACATGACAATAATGTAGGACATTTCCGTGAATTTCCTATTCATTTTATAGGAAGATCAGAACTATATAATCCATCAAGCTGGACTTGAAGGGATAATTAAACCGGAATGGCGAAATAGAGGAAAGGGAATAACGACTGAACAAATTAATAAATACTACTCGGAACTTACAAGAACGCAAATTTTACATTTGTATAACGTTTACAGGTAAAAAGAATTAATTATTTATTAGCAGGCAATCTTGTTAAAGTGCAGTGAAACTCAAAATAATATAATCTACATTTCCTTGATAGAAATTAGTCAGGATTTTTAATAAGCACAAGACAAACCCACACGAAAATTAGTCTACGTTAACAAAATTCTTTCTTGAATACCTTCTGCAACCCAAATAATTTAAAGTAATTAGTTTATTATTGACGGTTTGAAGCAGTTCAATGTTTATAACTATGTTTCGCGTAATTAAAATCAGTTTTATTATGAAGTTTTAATTTCTTGTGTTCATTTACCCTTATATTCAAATCTCTAGAGGTTTTGCTCTATATAGCAAATACTAGGTAGGTGAATTAAAAAAAAAAAGAAAATTTAAAAGTAAATAAAAGTAAAACAAAAATATTGGTATGCAAGGGAAGAAAAAGTAGGAAAAGAGCGAATATAAAGATAGGAAATGAAGAATTAGAAGAAGCGGCCGATTTTAGGTATCTAGGAAGTCAGATAAGTCAAGATGGAAGGAGTAATAGGAATATAAAGCAGAGGATACCGCGGGGGCGAGTCGCCTTCAATAAAAAGAAGTCACTCCTATGCTCGCGAACGATTTATTTAAAAATTCGAAAAAGGCTGTTAAAGGTGTATGTTTGGAACACGGCGCTGTGTGGGTGCGAAACATGGACGGTGGGCGCGGCGGAAAAGAAAAAGTTAGAAGCGTTTGAAATGTGGTGTTAGATGCGAATGATGAGGATACCGTGGATAGAGAAGGTTAGAAATGAAGAGATATTAGAAGGAATAGGAGAACAGAGGACTCTATGGAAGTCAATAAGAAATAGGCGAGATAGGTTGGTAGGACACCTCAGTCATGAAGGGCTAGTCAGTCATATTAGTGGCAGAAACGGAAGTTAGGAGGGGTAGAGGTAGACCTAGATTAGATTGCTGTTCGCAAATAGTTAAGGATGTGGATTGTTCTAGTTGTAGGGAAATGCGAAGATTAGCTCAGGATAGGAAAGAATAGACGTACGTGTCCAACGAGTCTTAGGACTGACGACCTTATCATGATGATGATGATATGAATTACATTAAACTTCGTAGATACTATACGATGACTTATTGTTTTCAGCTTTTTTCACAATTATTAATATATTGCAGGTACGATTTCGAATTGTTTAATTATTCATTGAGTGGCTTTATTGAGGTTGGAAAGCCTGACGAAGATCCTTCAACTCTTTTGTCAGCAATAAATTCAAAGGATCCGTCCATTTAGAAGAAATTATTTATTAATTCAAAAAAGGAATTAATAAGTCAAAAAAATGTAAATAATAATTTTATTTATTCATTATTACTTATTTGTTTTTGGTATTTTGCATCTCGCAGGTATTAGTTTACTCATTTGAAATGTTGGGAGTAGTTCCAGACACGATGTATTATAATTACTGTGTACATAAGTATAAGAATATAAGCTATATGATATCTTACGAAATCAAGTATTACATGTCCTGTATATTTAATATTTTGCTCAATTAATTGTTACAATTCACATGCATCTACGTATTTAATACTTTGTTATGAGAATGCATCAAATAAATAATTCTGTTGAAATTAAAAAACAAAAAGTAAATTTAATTCAATACACTCCCTACTCCTTCATAAATGATAAGTTTTCTTGATTAATATAAGTGGCATTTAATTTTTTATTTTTACCCTGTAAATGTACTTTACTATCTTGTAACTTCGTCACATAAGTTCAATGTATTTTTCAAATCAATTGTAATTGTCTTATTTATTTAACGGAACAGACTATGGCACCGTTCTCGAAGAAATGTTAACACAAAATATTAGTACAATTTTGTCAATGCATACAGGGTGTTTTTATAAGAAGTGCGTACGAAATTAGAACTATACAAAAAACTTTTTTGTTTATCCTTATTTATTTACAATTTGTAAATATAGAAACAGTATATTCGCCAAAAAAGCCTTCGAACTGTATGTAATATTGAGGAAAACTAACATGTATTTTATAGCTACGTCAATTTATATTTCTAAATCTAAAATTGAAATTTTTCCATAACAATGACCCTTATTACACAAATATGTCGTTTTATATTTCTATTATTTACTGAGATAACTCACATTGTTTGGCCTAACAATGCAACATATCATAAGTGCTACTTTAGAACTGCAGGACAATGTCCATTAAAACTACAAAATGCTCCACTACGTAGTTGATTGATAAATTAAATTCCCATTCATTTTGTTGTATTTTTTTGCGTCAAATCGGTTTTTATTTCAAGAAAAATTAATATGAAAACTTCTCAACAAGCAAACATTTTTTTAATAAGATAAAATAAGAATAAAAATTACAATTTACTTATTAACTTGTATTATTGATACGACTGATCCGGCGATATTCACTAACTTAGGCTTTCAACTTGTAATTATTCATACTTTAGGAATCATTGTAGATNTGTACCAACGACTAAAATCAAAACTTTATCTTTTATCTTATCTTTATAATATTATAAAATGTAATGTTTTTATGTGCTACCTCGTGTATGTTAATTGTGGACAAAACGTGTGGTCCATGCTACAGTGTGTTTATATAATTAGAATTAAGTAACAATATGCAAATTTTAAAATACAATATGTTGGTAAGTATTATATGAATAAGTACGTACAAAAATGCGTTCTCAAATAGGATAATTGCAACGTTTTTATTATTACAAAACGTCATTAGTAAAAATAGTCATAATTTTTTGTGCAGAAAATCTAAAATAATAATTGGTTTTTTCGTCCTTGATAACCTTTCTGTACATTCATTTTTATTTTTAGAATAAGCTACTTACAATTATTTCTAAAACATATGCCAAAAGACGAAGATATAAATGCAGAAAGGTATCGGCGTTAACTATAGTCCTACTCTCTCTACTTATTTTCTGGGCAATTACTGAATGTATAAGGACTTTTTCCAACGGACAATTAAGAATAATGGTATGTAATGCACCAGTTCTAATGCAAGAATAATACACAACATGAATTAATCATACAATTCACCCTGGGTGGTTTCTTCTGTCTCACAAGACCTTGTCTCGGATAAGTACGGAACAACTGGTAGGACATTATTTAGGTAGGTTCAAAGTGAGGATAATATATGAGTATAAGGTAGGAAATAAGAAATATAAAAGGAAAGGATACAGAAAAACAAATCGACGAGGGGACATGGAATAGACACTATTTTCAGACAAATATACTGAGGGGCTAAGCCGCACTAAGCTTTTGCGGTGATTAAAAAATAAATTATGTTTATAAATAGTTTTGTAAATGGGGGAGGGGGCTATTTTGTAAATCCGATCCTGTGGAGAAAGGGACAACATACTAATTTTTTATTTAAATAATGTTCGGACGTTTACTTCAATCCTCAGAAGTCATTCATTGTAGTGAAATTATCCACAATACGTAATTGTAAACTACCCCAAATACTATATTTAATATATTTTTTTCATCTTACTACCGTAAAACTATCAAAAAATTTGCGTTTACGTCATCGAAAAAGTCTGTACGAACCAATCCAAACGTAATGGTAGCAAAACATTCAACTCGCTTGTAATATAAGTAGAAAATATGATGTAAGGGGGTGGTATGTAAGTCTCAATTAACCTTGGATGCTGCAAAACACTAGATCTAGATTATTTCCCGTTGCCTGCAATCTCATGCAAAAAAAAGACAGACCACGTACAAAACGTCTTTGAATAATTAATCTTCACACAATCTCTTCATAGTATACCCAACTGTAGATGAAAAATTCGCAACAGAATGTTTGTAGCGATATGATCTTTCTTTAGGCTGAACACACTGATTATTATACCGAAACTAAAACATGGGACGATGTGGAAAAACGTAACGAAAGGCGAAGGAATCATCTAAGAAAGATGTGCAAATTATTGGGTTTAAACAAGGTGGGAAACGATTCTCTCCATGAACCGAACCCTTGGGAATTTTTAATTAATAGAAAACACCATCTTGTCTGGTGTAACGTATTTAAAGCCGCTTCATCATCCTGGATGTACAACTTCAATGTTTTGGCGGGGTACGTCAACCAAAATATCATTACCTACTTTTTTTAACTTCTACTGTAGTAAAGACTTAAAAAACATGTTGCTAAAAGAAAATTTAACTAGATGCAAAAGAGTAAACTGGATGACAATGTAATTCCAACAGTTCCAGAAAGTTACCTAAATATACCTACATTCATCTGACCCTTAAAACTAGATAACAATTACAATGTTGCTCTAAATCGTAGTCTGTTTTAATTAAATTTGGGTAATTTTAAAAACTAGAAATCACAAACATCGCAAAATTTTAACGAAACAATTGTAACATTACTATGATGTTTTCTTCCAGTACATATGACTACTTTTTTTAACTTACGTTGCTACTTTAATTTTGAGAAAAAGGATTATGAAATTAATTCTACGAATGTAATTTACTATTATTAATTAAATGATGACTAAAAAACTATAGGTTAAAATTAACGATTGCTAATTTTGAGCCATTACCTGAATGAGATTCAAGTTATTGTAACAACAATCTAATGACTTTCTATCTGAATCTGTTGAGCAGAACGAACCCAGGATTCTTCTTAAACAACTCAATCTACCAATTAAATCGTACAGATTATTATGACGCAACGTATAATGGACAAAGTGGTCAAGCCGTCAAAGTACGAATCAAAGAACATCAGTAAACTTTCAGACAATATCTCGATTCTCCAAATAGTTCGAAATATTTCGTTTTTAACCATATTTTGGACAGAGAAATTGTTCGATTTTTGCAATTTGTAACATAAAAACGAAAATATAACTTCTTAAAAAACCAACAGCAACTAAATTCTGTGAAACTTACAAACTTTTAGTGGGTACTCTTAGGAAAGATATCGATACCTACAAATAGATACATATCAGCTAGGTCCAAACATGAAAACACCTGTAGTCAAATGTTAATTTAATTTTAAATAAATTGTTTTGAATCTGGTTTATTGTTAGTATTTTATTTCACAATCAATATTATATATTATATAGGTACAATCAGAAAATTTTGAATGACGTCAAACAAGTTCCTGTATCCCTGGCGAGGAAACACTACCCTCGACCAAGTGTTAANAGTTTTAGTTTGAAATATTGAAAATGTAGTGTTACTGATGTATTACATACACTGCACTTGCGGCGATCTTAAAATTCTCGTTATTTTTAGTATACCAACGCGGCGCTTTGATTCCGAAATAAATTTAGTTCACTGACATTAACAGTTGAACAACAACGAAAACATTAGATACGTTTGCCTATAACAAGTTTCAGTTGTAATAGCAGTATTAAGTAATGTCGGAATTTTCGAAATGTGCGGTGTGTCAAAAATCTGCTGAGCAAAAGTGCGGGGGATGCTTCAGCGTGTTCTATTGCAGCAAAGAGCATCAAATTACCGATTGGAAAACGCACAGGAAAGATTGCTTCCCATTTAAGGTAAATGCAGTTAATTTTTTTATGTACTTAATTTTTAAATGCATCAAAATATATAGTATAACTGTGATTCATCGTGATATCTAAAACGGTTTGGATAATTTCGATAGTTCAGTTCTAACAAATCCAAAAAGGAGAGAGACATCATTTTCTCGTTCTTTATCACGAGATGATCTAGGTAATCAGTGTTATTCTTTTGTTTTTTAATTTTAAATTTCCTTTTATAGATATGCGAGGACCCCCACCTTGGAAGGTATCTAAAAGCCACAAAACCTATTAAAAAAGGTGAAAAAGTCCTTCAGGAATTGCCTTTAGTTTGGGGGCCCCTGCAGCATACAAAACCTGTATGTCTAGGTTGTGGTAAAGGACTAAATTCGCAGACTTGCCGACCATGTGAAAAATGTGGATGGCCAGTGTGCAGTGAACGTTGTGAAAAATCATCCAATCACATTCCTGAATGCTCATTTACGACGGCAGTTGGGAAAAGGGTAAGAATTTTAGCAAATATGTGTCAGTTACTAACCAATAACAAACTATTTTTATTAAATCAATACTTAATTTGGGGAGTTATTTCAAAGTCATCAAAAGACCACTTGGACGCGTACCTCCACTCCTTCTTATAGGCCATTCAAGTATCAAATCAATACTTAATTTTGGGAGTAATATCATTAACATCAAAAGAATGCTTCGGCGAGTACCTCCACCTCTTCTTAGTAACCCTGAATATGCCTCATCAAAACAAACATAAATTATTTTAACATGCTCTAAAATATACGACACCTTGATCATTTAAATTAAAAATATTTCAATTTTTACTGGATATTCTAATTAAATTTCATAGTTTGTGTAGCGTTTCAATTTATTCCACCATCATCAGACTTACTATATTACATATTACTAATAAAATAAAGTATTAATTGGAGCAATAATCAAAAAAAGAATTCATAGTTTAAGTAGAACTGCACTTGTGTTAATTTTAGTCTGATGATAGTTGAATAAACCAAAGCTTACACAAAAACATTGTTATATTTTTTGAGCGTCAAGCTGGGAAAATAATCATTAAGCGTAACGGTTGAAAAGTCAACTGAAATAGAAAGATTAAAACAGTCTAGACTCGACAAAGGTCATTCAAAGAAAGGATTGAGGAACATTCTTGATCCTATCAGTTAAAAAAATTAGCATTACACTACATTCTGTCTTAAATCGAATTCAAAAGATGGTAATAAATTCAAGAAAATAACCAATGTAAGCTCGTTTTGAATTCGACCTAAAAAATTAATCAATATATGAAACATCTTTTGAAGAAACTTTTAAAAGATTTCGCCTTTTCAAAACAGTAGCTATTATTTAATTGGTCAAATTAATTAACAAGAAAAGAAACAACTGTTTTCATTTTAAAGTAGTAGAAGATAGTAAATTCATGACACATTTTTTATCTACTGGCAAACATTAACTGTACCAACGACAAAAATCATCAGTTTATCTGTAATCTTATCTTTGTAATATTATAAAACGTAATGTTTTTATGTGCTATCTTCCCATACACAATTATCAAAAAACGCCCAGTTATATTAATTGTAGACAAAACGTGTAGTCTATACTATAGTGTGTTTATGTAATAGAAATAAAACTTTAAGTAAGAATAAGTAAATTTTAAAATAAAATATGTTGGTAAGTATTGTGTACTTCTATAGGAAATACGTACAAAAAAAGCTTTCTCAAATAGGATAATTGCAAGGATTCTATTATTACAACAAATCATTGGTAAAAACAGTCATAATTTTTTGTATACAAAATCTAAAACGATAATTAGCTTTTTTCGTCTCTGATAACACCCTTCTGTACACTTTTATTTTTAGAATAAGCTACATAGAATTATTTCTAAAACGTGTCATACCAAACGACGACGACATAAATCGAGAAACGTATTAGTAAATATTTTTGTTATGTTCCTCCTGACTGTAGTACTACCCTCTTTACTTATTTTCTGGGCAGTTACTGAAAGTGTAAGGATTTATTCAAACGAAAAGGTACAAATAACGGTATGTAATGCACCAGTATCAATGGTAGAATAATACACAACATTAATTAACCATAAAATTCACCTTGGGGTAGTTAATTTGTCCCTTGTATCTAGGGTTGCCACCTATACTTTATTATAAAGTATTGTACTCTATTTCGACTGTGCAAACGTTATATTTTACAAGACACATAAAGTACGCAAAAATACTGTATTCAGGGCCTTAAGTAAACATCGTAATTTTGTAAGCGATTATTCGAAATTCAGAGTATTTTTACATCAATAATATTGCACAGAAAAATGGCAAGCCATATTTGGAACAATCTGATTTCCCAAATCACTTTTGCTGTCCGTTCCGGCCACTTCAGCATTTACAGAAAGAGTATTCTCTGTTATGAACACAAAGTGGCGGGACGACAGGAATAAAGCTTCATTAAAACTAATTAAAAATGAACTTTTAGTTTACTTAAATCTATATCTGCTAGGTCCAAACATGAAAACACCTGTAGTCAAATGTTAATTTAATTTTAAATAAATTGTTTTGAATCTGGTTTATTGTTAGTATTTTATTTCACAATCAATATTATATATTATATAGGTACAATCAGAAAATTTTGAATGACGTCAAACAAGTTCCTGTATCCCTGGCGAGGAAACACTACCCTCGACCAAGTGTTAAAGAACTGGAAGAGGCTATAGAAAACTCCTTATCATTTATTATAGTGAGACACCCGTTAGAAAGGCTCCTTTCAGCTTATAGGGATAAAATTCTGCTCAGCAAGCCGGGAAGTTACCATCAAAAATTAGGTTTTCAAATTATTGCACGCTATCGTAGTGAAAGTGATAAGGTAAGACAACAAGAGTAGTTGCTGTAAAAAATATCAAGAAAAATAATGACATTGAATTGATCTTAAATGGTAAATACAATTTTTTCTTCGTAATAAAAATAATAGCAAATACAATGAGAAAATTCCTTACACGAAACTAAAACAACAAAGCATTTTCAAAGTAACAAAATATAAAACGACTACTTACTTTTTAAAAAAGAGTGAATAAGTAATACGTTAATGGTTAAAATTAATCAAATTTCGTTTTTTCGAGAGTTTTTCGTTATAGTAACATTTTCATTACCGTGAGCTATTCACTGTAAGCGAATGTTTATTACATAAAAGTATAGCCATATTATTTTTTTTATTGCAGAGAATGTTTTTTAGACGACGGTGGCCTACGTTTTCGGAATTTGTAATGTACCTTTTAGATTTAGCTAAATTTAATAAACCCTTTGACATGCATTGGGCACTAGTGACACAGTTTTGCACCCCGTGTATGTTTAATTTTAAGTTCATAGCTCACACAGAAACACTTGAGGTAAGTTAGTTAATTATTTAAATAAATACAAANAACCTTTTAGTCGAGAAATACTTTATGTAAAGCGTGAAAAGGTGGCAACCCTACTTGTATCCTAACTAGTGTTATAATTAATATGCAATATTTCAATTTTGTCCCTTGTTGCAATGTAATCCGACCGAGCGGCATGATCTAGAAATTTAGACCATTGCTTAGCACTCGGGAGGTCGCCGGTTCGATTCCGGGTGCGTCTGCCTGTCTGGGGCAGTAATATTCCTCAGATAATCTTTCATTTTCTTCTGTCTTCATTTCGTCCGTCTCATCTTTCTCGCCCGAACCACCACCCACCCATTCCCATGATTCCTGAAAGGAGGTTGAAGAGGGCCTTCCGCCCTACTTTCCGGCTTAGTCCGGAGGGATTGCCCGCCCACCAGCATTAGGGGCTGGTGGGAATGAAACACTCAAAAGTTTAAATAACCCAAATCACCTCCTCGGGGACAAATGAGTCTCCACTATATCTACTATTATACTTTCAATTCCAAAAGATGATTTAGAAATAACGCCCAGTTTTTTAATACTAATAATAAAATAGGAAGATGGCGTTCTTGAAAAAGAAAAATACAACTGGAAGCCGCTTTTGGAAAAAATTAACGAAAGAAAAAGATCATTGGCTACAAGCTGTCAATATTTACTTCAGCATCATAAAACACTGTTTTCTAATGATAATGTCTCTCATCAAAATTATGATTGTTTTGTGTCTATAGAGAATAGTTACTCAAAATCAGTTATCTGCGATGCAACTGGTCTAACTAAGCTGCTAATTTGTCCATCTTCTTTGCATGGAGATTCTATTACGTAAGTTCAAAAAAAAAATCTCGAGCAATTAAAGCAATGAAAGTTTTAAGGTGTTCCGTGTTAAAAACAGAAAACGTTAAAGTGGACGATCTGCTTCATACAAATAATACTTTTTTAGTTATTCAACATCCGTTTAAACGGATTGTTTCGTTATTTAAAAGTCTAATTTTAAGCAGAAAAGACGAAGTACAAAAACTGTATAAAGATGTAAGTATTGTTAATTTTATTACCGTCATATCTAATACATTTTTAGCAATAGGCAGATGCGAAAACGTTTTAAAATTTAATTTAGCTTTTCACTGTTCAAAAAAGGATTCTTTTTAGGGTGCCAAGGACGAATTGCTTTTTGTAAATTTCGTTGCATTTATCTTGTATGAAAATCAAGATAATAATAAATGGATAGCTATACAGAAGGGCTGTTCTGTTTGCAGCACAACATTTGACTGCATTATTAGCATGGAGAATATACAGGTAAAAAATGAAGCTGTAAGAATAATATATCTAAAAATATATTTAAAAGTGGATCGTACTCATAAAAAGGACTAAGTGCAAGTTGTATGTGACCTCAAATTATCCACATTTACCATAGAAATTTAGAAATTATTAGGAAAATGCATCTTCATAATTTGAAAACTTTTCCTTCTTGTTTTAATGATGTCGCCATTTCGACTACTTTATGGAAATAATTATTTATTTGTTGTGTATTTCGGTTTATTTAACCATCTTCAGACTTTTGGAGTATTTATTATATTATACTATATTATAGCATGTAATTGTTCAACGTGATAGAAAGTTTAAAAATAAGTTAATATCTGTGTATAAGCAGTAACACTCCAAAAGTCTGAAGATGGCTAAATAAACCGAAACGTTACAATAAAAATGTAGTTGTGTAATTATTTGACCGCCACCCTGGAAAAAACTACATGATTTAATAGTAACGGTCAGGAATCTAACTTAAATTTATTTGTTGTTTCAACAGGAAGAAAAGGACTATTTTCTCTATAGAACAACTGGAACCGAACCACCTTATCATAGTATAGATAATTTGGAAATGTTAGTTCCCAGTGATTTTGAAGTTGATTTTTATATCTCTAAACTTCCAAAATTCGCAATTTTACAATTGTATCAACTCTTTAGGTAAGTTTTCTCAATTACCCAATGGCGTCTACCCAAATAATTTATTTTATCTAGTTTACTCTCTTCCAACTACTCATTAACATTAGTTAGATTCTAATTAGTTGTCTAGAAGTAATATTTTTTAAAAAGCTTTTTGTATTATTTAGGTTAGATTTCGAACTGTTCCACTACAGATTAAATACATATTTATCCATGGGAATCGAGTACGACTATTCATCAAACGAAACCGTTTAAAAAACCACTGCTATAAAACCCACCGACTGAAAAACTTTTGTATATTTATTATTTTGTTGTCATTTCTTCCCCAACAATTGTATCAAGTAAGAAATCAGGCTACGTATTGAGCAAAAATTTTAATGTATGTATTAACCTAACCCTGAATATGCCTCATAATAGGCGAAACGTAGGTTGACGGTCTCATAAGTAGCTTCATTTTTAACTTCCCATTAGGAAGTTATTGTAATTGGGTCGAAAAGTGAAATCGGAATTTTCATTATATTTCCACGTTTTAACATATTAGTAGCATGCTAGCCAATTTTTTTGATGATGTGTGTATGTACGTACGTACGTACGTACGTACGTACGTA